CAGCGATCTTCGGAGAAGCTTGAAACCCTGACAACGGGGACGACCGCCTTTTCTTTTCAAATGTATTAAATTCTCTCTTTCATGTTAATCAAACGATTAAGCTATAAGTTTTAAATCTACTTGTAAAAAGAATGTGCAAAATACTTGTTTCATTTTCATCTTTTGCATATTGGTTTTAAAAAATCAGCACTTCATTTGTCTCAAAAAACAAATCAGCACCTCATTGCATCTAATTAGTCTTTTCACTGGGTAACTACAATTTTTTTTCTATACAGCCATCACATTCATCATCAGTTCTCACAGGTCATTTTTCTAGGGGATGATGTGGATTTCTAATAACATGCTGTTTCATCCGCCAGTGTCAAAGTAGTTATATTGTTTATCAATGACTAAAAATAGGCTGTCAGTCAATAACAAAGATTAAAGACAGGAACCCAACTAAACCAACCAAACCTGAGGTTCAGTGGATGGAAAAACTTGTTGCCACATGAGGAATCTTAAGCATGTCACAGTTGATGGTTAGGAATCGTCTTCAACTTGCTTGTGCCTTTGAAATGGCAGTAGGTTGCCATTTCAAATGATTTGAAACATTTTCAAATGAGATTTATTTGGTGCATTGTTCCCGCCCAGATGAAATCTGTCTAGATTTTGTTCAATTCCTAAAACAATTGTCAATTCATTTGAAGGTGTATATTTGGGAGGGATATAACTCATTTTACAACTGCTTGGAACTTAAGAGCCATTAGGCTTTTCATTTCCTTCATAAAGTTTGAACAATTTAAGCTTATGGTTTGAGAACTAAAGAAGGAAAGAAACCAATGTAGAATTGAATGGCAATAAAAGTAGAGAGAATAGAGGACGAGTGCAACTTATTGGAATAAAAGTATAAAATTGGCCACAAGTGTAGTTAAACTTATGATAATTATTAATTCCAAATATGATTTTATGCCAACATGTAATGCATTTTCGTTTGACATTATAATCAAGTTCATATTTGCCTTTTTCCTTTTCTTTCTGCATTTTTTATGAAAATTATTGTATATTGGAAGGTAGCTGTAGAGCTGATAGAGAATAAATACTCTTTCAACAAAATATTAAATATTTACTCAAAAAAAAAAGATTCAAAATGATCTTTTCCCCGTTTTGCTAATTGCAATCACACCAAGCAGTAAAAATACAGTGAAAAAAGTCCCTGAATATAATATGTGTGCCAGATTTAGAAATTGAAATATATGAAATTCTGGCGGAAGTGGCTGCATTGGCTTATTCTGCTAATTTAAGAAAAAAATATTTTTGAAATATATTTTGTTAATAAAATAAAAAAAATTATATGGAGTATGTAAAAATAGCTTAAATGGTCATCTACGATCACTTCAGACAATACAGCCAGAAAAGTAACTCCGACCTTAGTTTTTCTGTTTATTACACAATTCAGCGCGCGAAAGCAAAAGTTACGTGTTTGGTGAAAAAATTGGTCGATAAGCCTGATAAGCCGAAAAATTGTGTTGTCAAACGGCCTCTACATGAAGATATTTATTTCAAAAGATAAGCTCGTCTAAGCAGGGAGTAGTAAGTAAACCGCTTTGAGTGAAGCTTTCTCTATCTGAATTAGGGGTGCGTCGGTGAAACCGAAAATCGAAAACCGAACCGAAAAAACCCGAACCGCAACCAAAACAACCGAACTGCAAGAAAACCGAAACTGAACTCAAAAAACCGAACCGAAGTTGTGTTTGGTTTCAGTTTTGGTTTTCACATCTCAAAATCGAACCGAACAAACCGAACCTAATCGAACAAACCGAACTTTTTAAAACTTGCTATTTGATTTTTTAATTGACGAACACTTTGTCGTAGTGTGCCTCAAATTAAATTCACTACTAAGAGCTAATACCGTAGTATAACGTAGTAGAGTTCGTATCCACAGGGAAAGGAACTTTTCGCGTATGTGTAAGCGTAATAAATAAAAGTAAACGGAAGGGGGAATTGGATATTTTGATAATTGAGAAAGCAAATAAAATACTTAAATGAGTGGAATAAAATATCAAAGGTAATTAGTCTTGGTTTTGCTTTTATCCACTTAATCAAATGTTCATCGATCCCGGTTATATCTTTAACTATCTTCCTCTCGAATACTCAATCGAGGAGTATATCCAGTTCATCGAGGGTAGTTATTAATAACAAGACGCGTTCATTAATAAAACTTACTACCGAATTAATATAGAACACGCGCCGTATATTTACTCGATAGTAGCAATAAATTCAAGATGAAAACAATTGAAATTGATAACCTCAACACAAGCGGTTTATTGGTTAATCAATATAATTAATTCCTCTTAGATTATTAACCATGAGACGCATGCATTAATAATCCAAGTTTACTACCGTGAAAAGATCGAACGATTAACAAGTGTATTCGTCGATCGATTCTAGTAATAATTAATATATGAGACAAAACTAGTTGATCCTTTAAGTAATGCTCAAAATATTAAAATGAAATATGAATAGGAATTAATTAATATTCAAGGAAGAATATTAAAGAAGATATAAATCCTACTATAACTAATGTCAAGATGTTAACTAATTGTCATTTTAGTAACACTCCCCAACAATAATATAGAGGAAGAAAATAAATACTACTCTAACTAATGTCGAGATGTTAATCAATTGTCATCTTAGTAATGCTCCTCGACATTAATATAGAGATAGTATTAAGGGAAAAATTAATATTCGAGGAAGAAGATTAAAGAAAATAACTCACAACTTACAATTCGTTAAGGTTCAATGTAGCAAAACTAAGATGGAAAGACTACCTAAATTACAAGAATAAAGTGTATATGAAAGAGGGATTAAATTAGTATCTAAAATAGGAAGGAAAGTGGTGTTTTTATAGGAGAAGTGAGGTGGTTGGGTCTAAGACATAATCTGATTTCCCATGTTCACTTACTTTATTTGATCTCTTATGATCTCCGGGTCAAATCATATCCGATTTTTCACATTTCTTTGTTTTCCATGAAGCTTCCTCTTGTCTCCAATGCTCCTTCATTATGCTCTCAAGCTCCTTCCTCTTCTTTTCATCATGTTTTTGCTTACATATCAAAATATCTTAATATCTTCTAATTCTACTTTAATTTTAGAAGATAAAGATTACACCGTAATTGTACAAATGCTAAGTAAACATAATGTACAAACCATTCTAAAATGTGGTGTTTATGCACTACTAAATAGTACACATCATTAATCACTAAGTATAATGATTTGTTTAGTTTCTAATTCTTAATTCTAGAAAGTTAATGTTTGATATATACCAGATTTATTATGATATATACTACATTTAATATTTATGGTTTAATTAAGTGAAACCCATGAACATACACTTAAGTCTATTGTTATAATACTAATATGTTTTGATATGCTAAATCGTAATTTATATTTTGCATGTTGTTGCATGACAATGATATTTTGGTGATATATTATTTGTTATGTATGTTTGTAATCACATAATTTTTTATATGGAACAAATATGTACTCCATATTGATCTAAACTATACTTTAAACAACATAGTCAAAAACGTGAAACTTTAAAACATAAATATCTTTTTCTAAAAAGAAAGTAGATAAGTTATTTACTTTCAAGAAAAGTATTTTGTCAAAAAAAAGAAAATGAATTATTGGACACAACATTTACAAATAAAATTCAACTTGCAAATACATTATATATAATTCACAAATAAACTCATGTGTTTAATTAATTTAGAAAGTGTGTAAATAAACTGGTATGCACGTACGTACTCTCTACTTCATCACTTGGAAGTGCATTTGTTTCTTCTCTCTTTTTTAATTATGTTTTCGTATAGTAATACTATTAATTATAGTTTTATGTATTTTATTTTTTGTTTTAGTGTTTCAATTACTATTTTTTTAATCAACAAAAATATTTTGGCAAAAACTGAAACTGAACCGAACAAACCATGGTTCCAAATTTTTGAACATAAAACCGAACCGAACTTTTTAGTCTGGTTCGACATTTGGCTTTAGGTGAAAACCGAACCGTTTGAACCGAACTCACCTCTAATCTGAATATAGTGACATGTGGTTCAAATAAAAGTGTGATGATGAATGACATGCATATGTTGACTATGGCAAATGACTTTTAGAGAGAAAGGGGCAAAAGAATTCCAAATATCCATCTGGGAAGAAGAGTTTTGGCAACATATTTAATATTTACACCATATGTAGTAGAATATAAGGAAACGTATGGAGGAACATGTGTTTGAATTCCAATATCATGTTTGAAAAATCAACTCCAATTTTCAAAAGTTTCTGAATAATTAAAAAAACTGAAAGGTGCATCTTCTCAAGGAGACTAACAAATTATTGTTTTCTCTAACCAAGCACTCCAGCCTAGCTGGTTGCGAGGTTACCGTGCCTAGCGAGAGGTCTCGTGTTCGAATCCCGCTAGGCACACAAGGGTTTGAAACTCAATGGAGTGAGTTTCAGCCCTGATTACTTCAGGTTCCCCCCAGACCCCCTCCCCCAGACCCCCCCCCCCCCCCCCGGAGTAAAAATAATAATAATAAAATAAAATAAAAACAAATTATCGTTTTCTTTAGTTTTTCGGCTCTATTTGGATTATTTTTAAAAAACGAATTCTATAATATCATTCTTCTTCGCCAGGCAACCAACAGTCTGTAAGCCTGTGGGAAAAAAGACTTAGGCTTTAACTTTTTAGAAATTGTCTTATACTTGGTATAAGTAAAAACGTAATGAAATTCCAAAATTGGATCTTCATATTTTTTATTTTCTAAATAAGAGTAGTTTTGTCAAATTGGGGAAAGCTGTTATGTAACTGAATGTTTAAAGCCTGGTAATGTAACAATTCTATTTTTGAATTTCAAATCTATTTAAAAAAAATCCCTTATTTTTGTAGGAGGGAATTTTCCCTTGATATTTTTGGAAACCAATTTATTTTTGGCTTTAGGCTTTTCATCTAAAACAAAGGCAAAGATACGGAGAATGTGTTTCCATCGTGATCTAACTCATGTCGCAAGAGAAGTCTGGGAATAAAAGGAATCGTAGAAAGTGTAGGAAGCAGAAGAACTCGTCGGTCTCGCCCTCAATCAGTAACTCGCGAAAGCAGATTAGCGATTAGCAGACGACCAGTACGTTCTGCTAATACATAATAATGGGGAATTTCCAACCATCACTTATCCGTCAGCCTCCGCCCTCTCAACCCTCTCGCTCATTGATTGCTGCCTCTGCCAGTGAGGAAGATGAAGAACCTCTAGAGGTATCACATTACACAATTATATACTCCCTCCGTCCCGTTGGAATGTTCCCCGGTTTGACCTACACACATATTAAGGAAATAAACTTACCAGAGGGTAAATTTTACTGTTTGGACACTGTTTGACACTGTTTTGCACTGTTTGACACTGTTTTGATTTAGGATAACTTTCCATTTAGGGAAATGAGAACTTTCCATTGGGACATCCAAAAAAGGAAAGTGGGAACATTCCAACGGGACGGAGGTAGTAGTAAAGACGTAATCACGTAGTTTTCCCATGCCTCGTGATGCTAAAACATAACACCACAAAGATCATTTTAGCCTTGTGAATCCTTTATATAGGGATAAATACCTATATATGACTAAAACTCATTACAATTCTCCAAAGGGAAAAGAGGCAAATAAGCCCTCAAATTAATCAAAAAGTACAAATAAGCCCTTTTGTAGGAGGTTTCATCCAGTCATCGTCATTTGGGGAGGTTTACTGTGGAATTTTTTGATGTAATTTTTTTAGCATCTTATTCATTAAGTCTAGTTTAGTCCTACTGAATTTCAGCTAAAAATGCAACCGGGAAGACAGTCAAATACATTTTTGAAGATAACTGCGCAGTTAAACCACGCAGTATATTTCCGAAAATCATTTGAGTGCTTTCCCGATTGAATTTTTAGCTGAAATTCGGTATGGCTAAACTAGACTTAATGAAGAAAATGTTCAAAAAAATTCATCAAAAAATTCCACCGAGAACCTTCCCGAATGACGATGATCGGACAGAACCTCCTACAAAAGGGCTTATTTGCATTTTTTTTATTAGTTCGAGTGCTTATTTGCATCTTTTCCCTTCTCCAAATATGACCAAGTATGTTTATTTCCCAACATACGACTCTAATGAGTAATGAGAATAAAACATTTATACCCGTAATATTAAGGAGAATTGAAAGACAAATTTGACCTTAACATACGTTCCTATAGTGGGTTTTAGGATAGGAAAGAATCCAAACTACCATAAATGCATAATTAAAGATGGAAGACCAATCCCATGTTTTAGGAACAAAATTAATGAATGATTTAACATTTTAACCAATCATAATCGTGTTCTCACAAAAACAAAATAGGGAATAGAAAGAGCACAAACTAGATGGGAATTGAAGCAGAGGTCTGAAGAAATGACGTTTTTTCCTCCTGATCATTCTTTGAGCGCAGTACTGTATTGCATTAATGTACTGCACTAAATAGTGTCGTATGTAACTTATATTTTGTGGATTGTGTTGTGCAAGTATTTAACTTATAAAATATATGCAGTAAATTAATTTTTATTACATTTTCTTATTAATTCAGCAATATGCATGGTGATTAAAAAGATTGACTGTGAGTCATTCATGCATTATTGGTTATTTATGTAATGCATTGACATGGGCAATAAGTGAATTACATTGCACTGAATGAACTAATTCTTTGTACTAAATGGAAAAATTCGTCTTCACTCCATAAATTCAGTGCATTACATAAATTATCAGTAATACATTGGAATTCAATGCATTATATAAACTATCAGTAATACCCTCATCAAACTTCAAAAAAAATCTTGATTTAATGACCATATGTTATTTATGTAGCACAAAAAAAATCCACACCAAATGAAAACATCTATTACACTAAATGAAAAACATTATTACACCAATTTTTTTGTATTAACAATAAGCATACAGAACTCAACATTAAATTAGAGAAGTATATATATTAGTAACAATGAATCAAAATTCATCTCTTAATAAACATATGCATAGTGGATCTTTAACTCCATGAATAACCAAAGGTCCGAAGTCATGTGATCATGGTGATTAACATTAACTACTGGAATACTTTCACTCTTCATCGCGATCTTGATCCTCGTTGTTACGTAAAGATTGTTGGAGTGGAACATCACCAGAGGATTGTGTGTGTTGCTTCATCTACACCTCTCGTCGATTCATAATCATCTACGACTTCAAAAAACAACTAATAGAATGTAAATAACGCATAAACTATGAAAATACATCTTTTCATTTCTAAATTTACGATGAAGTACGTCTTCTTCTGCAAAAGTTTCGACCTTCCTGTGTCTGCACTCTTCTTCTTCCGCCGGCAACTTCTTCAAGGGTGTGGAGGACGGGTATAATTGATTATAATCAGAAAAGAGAATGGAACGAGTAGCAAGATTAAAACCAGAAAATTCAGTTACCTATTTGAGTGGGATCCTTTTCAGAATAATTATGGTAGTAATTTGCATAAAATAAGGAACCGTTAATTCTTCAATATGTCCACCGTATAAGGGCATCAATGGAATGAAAAATAAAGAAAGGGGCCGATGGTATGGCATGTATCATCACATTAGGAAAAAAACATATAAGTCATAGAATGGGAAAGAGAATGACTTTTAGTAATACGGAGGGTAAATTTCTCATTAAACAAAAGACTTAGATGTTTGATAGAGAAGAGTTTTGGGTAAGAAATTTATTGATGAAGGTAGGGAGACCCTGAAAGAGCTTTGAGGGAGGAAATAGTTTGATCCATAAATTCCAGTCATATGGCTTCACATGGGTCGTAATATTCATTGTGCTAAATTCTAAAACAAGTAATTAAAATCCAGAAAATAAGTAAATGGTTACCTTTTCGATGAAGAAGACACTCTAACTTGGAATCGTGAACAAGCGCTATTCCATGTTTATTTTTTGATTCATAATGGACGTATGTAATAATTGATGGAAATATGATGTGGTGAAGAATGTATGACTCTGGGTGGGTTCTATTTGCAACAAAACGGAGATAGAGGAGAAAAACTCAAATCTAAGCAATACCAGGTCTAAACATAGTGTAGCAATCATTAATTTGTTACCCCAAAGTCCCAGGCCATATCTAGTACTCTTATCTTAACAATAAAAAACAATCCCTCCAAATGAATCTGTGATGCTTGGAAGGAAAAAATAAAGAAGTGTTATGTGTTGTGATGTATCAAATTATTGAAAATCTTTTGATACGCAGATTACAGGAGGAACTTATTATTTGACGAGGTATAGAAGGAGATTGTCAAGAAGTTTAATGTCTCTTCACGATGATATTCTGTTTGAAATTCTTATATGTGTCCCGGCTCAAGATATTTATGATGCAGCGATGTATGTTTGTAGGAAGTGGTACCGCATAATTCATACCTGTAGGTTCATAAATGCACACCTTCGGCATTCAACTCATGGTCTTATGTTTCGTTGTCCCCATACACCTGCACTTTTTATGGTGGCTAGGCAAGGTCAGTTGGAGACATCTTATTTAACTAAATTCAAACACCGTGGCCCATCTAGCTGTAACGGTTTGCTCTTGGAGGTCGAATGCAACAAGCGTTCATGGACTCCCTATATAGTGAACCCTGTAACAAAGCAAATTTTTGTGCTTCCTAAAATTGAAAGAGGAATCACTTCAGACTATTTTGCCATATCTTATGCTGCAACTTCCATGGTGTATAAAGTGGTCGCAATTATTCATGGTCCTCGGCTAAAAATATTAACGGTCGGGGTCGATAATTCCTGGAGGACAGTTTGTATCAAACACTGTCCTCCTGATGCATTTTGCACGAGCTTCATCCGTACAACCGAAGGTTTTATGCATTGGGTGACCGCTGTATCTACTATAGTTGTGACTTTAAATGTAGAGACTGAAATGGTTGAGGTGAGCAATGAGCCGATCCTTCGACATGGTGTACTTCATGGGAATCTCTTGGTGTCGACGGGAAGCAAGTTGTCTGTCTTGATAAAGTTTGAGAGATTCGGGTGGGATGTTTGGGAGATGGAACCAGAAAGCAAACAGTGGACAAAGCTGAATATTGTTATTTGCTTGAAAGATCAAGAGAGGAGACTCCAACGGCTGGGTATGAAAAAGGGGCAAGAGGTCAATCCAATGGGCTGGATAAAATACAAAGAGCTATTGGTCTTTATTCCGAGTGGCTTAAAATATGTATATATGCAGTCCACTATTTTTGTGTACAACCTTGTTACACACGAAGTTGTCAAAAAGGATCTGCCTGGGCCGCCTGGCTTTGTTTTAGTGCAATCGCTTATACCCCACCGGAATAGCTTGGTATGGTTGCCTGGATCCTCCTGATACTCTTCTACTATGTAGAGAGAATGATGTTCCACCCCCACAAACTTTTTTTGATTAGGTTGACCATCAGGTATGCATTGGAGGGGCAAAGATATTTACTTTTGATTTCTAAGATACAGTTTATATTCAACTATTGTGACATGTTTTATCAAAAAAAAATCATGATTTTCAGTTCTGGGACAGTAAAAATAGATTAGGCCTTAGACAATGTGTGAATGTTATTTTTTTTTATATGGAAACTTTAATTAAAATTAAGCAGTCTTGTCATCTAAATACGAATATAACACACGAAAGAAATTAATAGATGTGACAATTATAGAAGGATTATATGTAAGTATTTGATAACTGACATTCAATTCTATGTACCTTAACTGACAGAATGGAAAACTAGTACAATTGTTGCTTGTAATAAAGAATTTTGAAGTAGAGAAAGGCACGAAAGTTATATCATATATGAAGTATCATTTTCATTTTCCTAATCACATTTTTACTAGACTAAAACAAATTGAAAAATTTTAAATTTTGTGTACGATTATTTAATCTTTCGCTTACATGAGAGAATAACACATCATTAGCAAAATACTATCAATGTATCATGAGTTTACATGAGAAAAATAGATGAAAAGATTAACATTTATGCACTAATTCTTAATGAATTCAAAGAAATGGTAAAGTCTATTCCCAAGGAATTCGTGTGTGAATCTTTCAAAATTTTAAACTTCTAGCTTATAGATGTTGTTGAATAATGAATTAGCATTATCGAAAAAACTATAAAGTTAATTTTATGTTTAGAATTTTATAGATATATAATGTATATATAATTAAAGTAAATGTCTATATATAACTGGAAAATTTATGCGCCCTATGGGAGCAATGGGCCGTGGCGCATGCTTGCCCATGCTTGAGGATCGCCCTTGATGATTTTCTATCCCTTGAAAATCCTTATCTCCCCAGCCCTCCATTGTTTCATCTTGCTCGATGAATGCTTCTTATAAGCAGCCTTTCGACCAAATAAGTGTTAGTGTGTTACTGTGATGCCAAAGTAGGCGATGGTGACGGTTATTCATTTAGGCTTGATGTTTGCAAATCGCAACCAAGGGAAGGATCCAGTAATCTGGGTTGGATTGAAATGGAGTAACTATATTAAGTTTAAACATTAGCGAGTATACTAAATACAAAAAGAGGTTATGCCTAAAAATGAAAAAGAAGTATTTCTCCGCCCATATGATTCTTCTGTTGATATTTCCGGTAATTAAAATCACTGAAGAGACGTTGGAAATTTGGATGGAAGGATCACAAATAGTCAAGAAACAATAGTTAAGCATCAAAATTGGTCAAAATTAAAAACGCGGAATGAATGTGGAGTTCATATAAAACTCATAAGACCAAAAGTGGAGTTAATTCAATAATATTAATATGAGTAATTAATAGACCAGTAGGTGAATTGAATCAATCGAATTGCACATTTACGATGCAATCATTCAGTTTTCTCTTTTAGTGTATTTTGACAAATCAACGTGCATAAACATTGGAATTTCGACTTGGTCATATACCTGATCGAGTATATTGACATACTCAGTCAGGTATGACTGGAGTTAAGCACTTTTCACAATGTTTAGAAAGGTGAAATCGGGCCCGATGTGGTTGGCCTCATGAGGCGCAAGCCTCGAGGCGTACCGAGGTGTAAGCTTCAAAATTACTTGTTAAAATTTTGCTACAACATATGAGATTATATAGATAGGTCATAATAATAATTTCAGCGAAACAAAATCATAAGTCAGAAAACAAAACCATAAATATACAAATTGAAATAACATAATCATATGTCTCTCTAGAGAATCGACGAAAGACCTAGCATTGTCTGGGGTAGTTTGGCAAACGGATGTGGTGGATCTCAATGGTAGCAGGATTCCGGTTATTCAAATAAGGCGAAAGCAGGAGAAGGCGGCAACAAGATACCTGGTCAATCATGAGGAAGGCAGAAGATCCAAGATCGGAAAAACTCAGGGCTTGTGGCAGTGATCTTATACGGGCGGACCAGACTTGGGGATTGAGTGAAAGGGTTTGCTTGGGATGGTATGGAGAATTTCAGATTCAGGTGATGAAAGAAGAAGAAGATAAAGTGATAATGATCCATTGTCTCCTTCTAAACCACTTCCATGCAGGAACAGTGACTAGGGTTTGGTAGACGATACTTGACATGTAATGAGTAGGAAAAAGAAATTTAAGTAAATATATAATTAAAGAGAATAAATTATTTTCTAAAATAGAATAAAAATCTTTAAATGAGACACTCAGAAATAAAAAAAAAATGGAACCTTTCAGCTGAACAGAGTAAGTTTTTACTCTTTCTTGGAATTGTTGTTTGAAGTCATGGGCTTCGGCTGATCAGTACTGACCCAATATCCTTTGCTCTTCGGCCCAACTATTTTCCGAGTCTGCATATTCAAATGTGCAGAAAATGAATGATGAATAGCTGCCGAAGCTTTGTCTTTCGGAGCAATAAAATGATTTGCGCCAGGGCTATTGCAGCCGGCCCATACTACTTATCTCAGCGATCGCACTCTCCTGCTGCCGTCGCCGCCTTACGCCGCCGCTTCTCTGCCGCAGCCATCAGAATGTCTTCGGGGCCGATCGTTGAGCACGTGGTGCTCTTCAAGGTTAAGCCGGATGTGGAGCCTTCCAGGGTCAACGAGATGGTAGTCAACCTTAACGGCCTCACATCTCTACCGCAGGTGCTCCACCTCACCGCCGGACCTGTGCTCCGCAACCGATCCGACTCCTTCGCCTTCACACACATGCTCCATTCTCGGTACGCCTCCAAGTCCGACCTCGCCGACTACTCCGCCCACCCCGATCACATGGCCGTCGTCAAGGCGAATGTGCTTCCTGTCTGCGACGACATCATGGCCGTCGACTGGATCTGCGATGACCTCGCCGGCCCGGTCAAGGTACCTCCCGGTTCAGCCCTGAGAGTCACATTTCTGAAATTGAAGGAGAATTTGGGGGAAACTGAGAAAGGGGAAATACTGTCGGTGACGAGAGGAATTAAGGAGAAGTTTTCGTCGATTGATCAGATGAGCGTGGGGGAGAACTTCTCTCCGGCGAGGGCGAAGGGATTCTCGATTGCTTCGGTTGCTGTGTTTGGTGGGGTGGGAGAATTGGAGGCGTTGGAGTCGCAATCGGCGGCGGAAAAGGAGGAGAAGGATAAGGTTAGGGGGTTTCTGGACGGCGTACTGGTGGTGGATTACGCCGTCCCGGGTTTGCAGTAGGTTGCCGGTCTCTATGGGTAGAACCGTCATTTGAAGTGTTCCGTCTTCTTCTCGTTACTGATTGTTTGTAATGTTCTGATTTTCTCCAAGCAAGAATGGGGTTGAATTGCCCTTTCTCCTATGAAGAATAAAATTTACGTGTTATCCAATATCGATACTCGTTTCAAGAATGAGATATTATGATATCTATGAGCTAGGCTTAATTAAAATTCTACAGTTCTAATTAATCTGATATTGGACTTGTTTGACCATCACTAGTTAGCGGCTAGCGGATTCAATCAATAGATTCTAAATAGTGGATTGAGTCTGCGGATTTGACCCGTGAATTAATTTGGCGGGTTACATAAATATGTTTGGTAATTTAACTGTTTATTTTTTGCGGTTAATAAATAAAAAAACAGTAAAGGGCGTGAGTTTATTTTTAGGGACTATATATGTATGACACGAAAACAAGTAGGATATATGAATGAATATAAAATACGGAGTATATGCATTGACAGCATTGTGATAAGATGATTCTATGGTACCTATAAGGTATCATACCTTTGTCCACATGGACCAATGAGAATGTAGCAGTTGAGTTATTTAAATCTAAATTAAAAATGATAAAGTGATGTGGTTCAATCAAATGGGCGATAGGTACGGTACCCCATTTTTTAGAAAGGTACCGAAGTTTTCACCTTGTGATAAACACTTGGCCCATATTAGACAAACAAGTGGCCACTTTAATCTTCTTATAAGGACTCCAGAAGGTGTACTAAATTTACAAATGGCAAAAATAACAATCAGGCAAAATCAAAGAGAAGGAAACCCAACAAAGCTTTCAAAAAATGTGTAGGTAACTCCATCAATAACAAAAACAATTTAAAAGAAGAAGAAAACTATATATGCGGCAACAGTAAAAAAACAAAGAAAGAAGAGGGAGCAAGCCGGAGCATGGACAAAAGAATTAAAGAAAGGACCGAAACAACTGAAGAATACGTACCTGGATAGTTTTCTTCAGAGGTGAAAGGGTAAACTTGACGATTAATTATTTATTTGGATCCGCCGGCTCCAAACGCTCCACTGCGTTTTGGACCAAAACGCTATACTAACCCGCCAACTGCCAAACACCTAATTTCAGTGTTTTGACTGATTGAAAACGCCGATTTTGGTCAAACCAGCAAATTTTTGGCTGAAACGCCATTTACCAAGCATGGCCATTATTGAAAACGCCCACTTCTTTAACTGATAAACTGTTTTTCTTTATAAACAAAGAAAGAAGAAAATTTGAAGATATTTTTTTGAAATTAATGGACTTAAATTGATAACACATCATTCATATAGTAATTAAATCGACAAAAAGATTTCTGAGAACTGTCGACCCTCGAACCAGACTCATAGTTTATCACCTCGACAGAAGCAATATAACTCGTTGATCCATTAATGGGCGCAACTGAGCCAAAGACGGTTACCGCAATCCTTCCATCACCCACATCCAAATTCACAGTCTTACAGCAGGGAAAAATAAAGAGTCGGAAAAAAAAAACAAAGCAGGTTGTCACGAAAAATAAAAACGTACACATAAAAATCATGCCCCAGCTTCCTGATCAACACGAGCTTCCATGTTACCAACATTGGCCTCAACTTGATCAGCTTCGGAGGGCTTAATTACATCTCTAAGCACGCCCCCTCCCTGTTTTTTGCCACATCCAGCGCCATATTATCCCCCACGTAGGGGAGAGCATGGGTCGGGTTCGGGCGGGGCGGGTTCTTAAATCGTAAACTCGTTCGGTATCGGGGTTAAATTCTGTAACCCTACCCATAAATATTTAAGGGTAAAATTTTCGGATATTTTGAAGTTCGGTTGCTTTCGGGTATGGGTCGGATATCGGATATTTCGAATATTCAAAAAATATTACTTAACTACTAAAATTTAATTTCTTTTCACAACTGGTTGAAATTCATACAGGATAAACAGAAATTACACAATATAAGGGGATTTCCCAGACCCAGTTCATAAATTAACAGTTTTTATGAACATACAAGTTCATAACCTGATAAGTTGGCTAACCAAGTTTTAATGTTTAACAATTAACACATAACAAAATATACAATCTGTACCACAGTACCAGATTACCAATTGTGCAATTATACAAGTTTTTGACATGCAAAGTAATAAAAGCAAAAATACAAAAACACTTCGCTAG